TCGAGACCAGCCTGACCAACATGGAGAAACCACGTCTCTACTAAAAAGACAAAATTAGCCGGGCGTGGTGGTGCATGCCTGTAATCTCAGCTACTTGGGAGGCTGAGGCAGGAGAATTGCTTGAACCTGAGAGACGGAGGTTGCGGTGAGCCAAAATTGCGCCATTGCACTCTAGCCTGGGCAACAAGAGTGAAACTCTGTCTAAAAAAAAAAAGGGTGGGGGCAAATCCTTAACGCGTGTCCTGAGATCTGGTCTGGGAAGGGGCAGAGTTTGCCCAGGAGATGTACCTTGGTCCCCTGTAGAACTGGTCCTGTATCCCTGACTGTGCAGGGCCTGGGGTGAAGTCTGTTTCTGGAGCCCACCTGGAGTCCTGGGTCTGGGATTTAATGCCAGTGCTTAACTCGACCTGGCTCTTACTCTCAGATCGAGAAGAAGCTGGAACCACTGTCACAGGATGAAGACCAGCATGCAGACCTGACCCAGAGCCGCCGCCCACTTACCGGCTGCACCATTTTCCTGGGATATACATCCAACCTCATCAGTTCAGGCATCCGTGAGACCATTCGCTACCTTGTGCAGCACAACATGGTGGGGACCTGGTGGGGCCGTGGCCTTGGCCTCTGGGTCAATGGGCGATGCAGTTATTGATCGTTTAAGTGAGATGGGGAGATAGGGGTCTGTTATAAGCAGAAGAACAGAATCGAGTTTTGTTTTGTAGCAGAGCTCCCTGGTAGGAGTCACTGGACAAGGATGAGGTTAGAAGTCCTGCCCAGAATGAGGGCCGGGGCTTCCTTCTTGGGCCAACTTCACTGCCCTGTGGCTGCAGGTGGATGTATTGGTGACCACAGCTGGCGGCGTGGAGGAGGACCTCATCAAGTGCCTGGCGCCCACATACTTGGGCGAGTTTAGCCTCAGGGGGAAGGAGCTCCGGGAGAACGGAATCAATAGGTGAGAACCCTGAGTGGTGCTGGGCAGGGGAGCTGGACCAAGGGTCCTGGGGCCTGATGCCCACATGCTTCCTGTCCTCAGGATCGGAAACCTGCTGGTGCCCAATGACAATTACTGCAAGTTTGAGGACTGGCTGATGCCCATTCTGGACCAGATGGTGCTGGAGCAGAACACAGAGGTGGGGCTGGGGCAACCTGGAGGGGCCAGTCCAGTGGGAGTCAGGGGAGGCATGGCCTGAAGCTCACATCCTCTCCTAGGGTGTAAAGTGGACGCCTTCTAAGATGATCGCCCGGCTGGGCAAGGAGATCAACAACCCAGAGTCCGTGTATTACTGGGCCCAGAAGGTGAGGACCTAAGCGGGGGCAAAGTCGCCAGACTTTGACATGTGTTACTTCATCTTGCCAGCCACCTGGGGATTCACCACTGTTATTCTCAGCATCCTCACGCTTAGATGAGGACACTCAAACACAGATAGGCATGGTAAATTTTTTTTTTTTTTTTTTTTTTGAGACAGGATCTGGCTCTGTCACCTAGGCTGGAGTGCAGTGATGTGATCACAGCTCACTGCAGCCTCAACCTCCTGGGGCCAAGCAGTCCTCCCACCTCAGCCTCTCGAGTAGCTGGGACCACAGGCACATGCCACCATGACCAGCTAATTTTAAAATTGTTTTGTAGAGATGGGGCGGGGGGGCTCCGTATGTTGCCCAGGCTGGTCTTGAACTCCTGGCCTCAGGCAATCCTCCCACCTTGGCCTCCCAAAGTGCTGGGATTAGAGGCATGAGCCACTGTGCCTGGCCAGGCTAGGTAATTTTGTCCCAAGTCACACAGATAACTAGTGGGGCCTCAGCATCCTTATGCTCCTCCCAGACTATCTCTGGAACAGTAGGGGCAGCACTTAGCGACTCCCCTGGGGCCTGGCTCTGGGTCCCACACTCCCAGAGGCTATAAAATAAGAGATAGCCACTCCCTTTAATTAGAGAATGAGAATCTGGAAAAAAAGAAAAAGGCTGCCTACCCTTTTTTTTTTTTGAGACGGAGTCTCGCTGTGTTGCCCAGGCTGGAGTGCAGTGGCAATCTTGGCTCTCTGCAAGCTCCGCCTCCTGGGTTTATGCCATTCTCCTGCCTCAGTCTCCCAAGTAGCTGGGACTACGGGTGTCCGCCGACACGCCCAGCTAATCTTTTGTATTTTCAGTAGAGATGGCGTTTGACTGTGTTAGCCAGGCTGGTCTCCTGACCTTGTGATCCGCCCACCCCGGCCTACCTCGGCCTCCCAAAGTGCTGGGATTAAAGGCGTGAGCCACTGTGCCCAGCCCTTTTTTTTTTTTTTTTTTTTTGAGACAGAGTCTTACTCTGTCACCCAGGCTGGAGTGCAATGGTATGATTTCAGCTCACTGCAACCTCCGCCTCCCAGGTTAAAGTGATTCTCCCGCCTCAGCCTACTGAGTAGCTGGGATTACATGCGCCCACCATCATGCCCAGCTAATTTTTGTATTTTTGTACAGATGGAGGTTCACCATGTTGGCCAGGCTGGTGTTGAACTCCTGACCTCAAGTGATCTGCCCGCCTTGGCCTCCCAAAGTACTGGGATTACAGATGTGAGCCACCACACCCAGCCTACCTATTCTTTCTTTTTTACGAGACAGGGTCTCACTCTGTTGCCCAGGCAGGAGTGCAATGGCACAATAATGACTCACTGCTGTCTTGAGCTTCTGGGCTCAATCGATTCTCCTGCCTCAGCCTGCTGAGTAGCTGGGACTACAGGTGCTTGCCACCATGCCTGGCTAATTTTTTTTGTAGAGATGGGGACTCACCATGTTGTACAAGCTGGCTCTTTTTTTTTTTTTTAAAAACAGTTTCACTCTTGTTGGCCAGGCTGGAGTTCAATGGTGCGATCTTGGCTCACAGCAACCTCTACCTCCTGGGTTCAAGCATTTCTCCTGCTTCAGCCTCCCAAGTTCCCAAGTAGCTGGGATTACAGGCATGTGCCACCACGCCTGGCTAATTTTGCATTTTTTGTAGAGACGGGGTTTCTCCATGTTGGTCAGGCTGGTCTCGAGCTCCCAACCTCAGGCGATCCACCCGCCTCGGCCTCCCAAAGTGCTGGGATTATAGGCGCAAGCCATCGCGCCCGGCCACAAGCTGGCTCTTTAGAAAAGAGATAGAGGGCCGGGCACAGTGGCTCATGCTTGTAATCCCAGTACTTTGGGAGACCGAAGTGGTGGATCACCTGAAGTCAGGAGTTCAAGACCAGCCCGGCCAACATGGTGAAACCCCATCTTTACTAAAAAAAAAAAAAAAAGCAAAATTAGCTGAGTGTGGTGGCACATGCCTGTAATCCTGGCTACTCCGGAGGCTGAAGCAGGGGAATCACTGGAACCCAGGAGGCAGAGGTTGCAGTGAGTCAAGATTGTGCTATTGCACTTCAGCCAGGGCAACAAGTGAAACTCCCATCTCAGGAAAAAAAAAAGAGAAAGAAACAGCTCAGCAAGCTAAGAATAGGCTGGTTCTTTACGTGCTGGGCACTATCCTAAGTATTTTCTGTGGGTTTTCTCATATAGGCCTCATCTGTGAGAGGTGTTACTGTTACGCTTATTTTATAATTGAGGAAACAGTCCTAGATAAATTAGGCACCCCGCCCACAGTCAGAGAGTGATGCAGCCAGCATGGGGACAAGGCTCTGAGCTCCAGCCACTGTCCTGTTATGTTCTCTGCAGAACCACATCCCTGTGTTTAGTCCCGCACTTACAGACGGCTCGCTGGGCGACATGATCTTCTTCCATTCCTACAAGAACCCAGGCCTGGTCCTGGACATCGTTGAGGGTGAGGCGCTGGGGCCACAGAGGAGACGGGAAGGAGGGCCGGCTGAGTCCAAGGCCTGACTTAGACCCTCTTTCCCCAGACCTGAGGCTCATCAACACGCAGGCCATCTTTGCCAAGGGCACTGGGATGATCATTCTGGGCGGGGGCGTGGTCAAGCACCACATCGCCAATGCCAACCTCATGGTGAGTGGGGGTGGTGCTTTGGCCCACTGTGCAGACGTGCTGTGTGCTCGGCCTATGCCATGCGCTGGGGAGACAGCATGAACTAGACAAACCAGGATCCCTCCTCCCCTGGGACTGATGTTCTAGTAGGGGAGATAGCAAACAAGTGACATCTATGTCGGGGCAGTCATTGCTATGGAGCATACTAGATGATGGGATAAGAGAAAGGGGTTCTGTCTAACAAGGGGTTTTGGAAGGAGGCTTCTGGAAGTATGAGCTGGGAGCAGGGGTTTGGGGAGGCATCTCCCAGGAGCCATGTGGTTGTCTCCCGTGCCAGGAGTTGCAGCTGCTGTGGTAGGATTGAGCTTCTGGATTGCAAAGTTCCCAGGAGAGGGAACAGCCAGTGTAAAGGCTCTGGGGTGCCTGAAGTAATCCCGGAACAGCTGGGAACCTGGTGAGGGAAAGTGGAGTGGTGAAGGCCAGGAGGTGATGCAGCGAGTCTGCTGGGCCCTGTGGGCTGAGGCGCGGCTTTGGTCTTTGCCCTGAGGGAGGTGGGAGAGGACTTGACTAGGGTTCCCATGCTCCCCCTGGTGGCCATGTGGTGAACAGATGGTGGCGGGTGAGTAAAAACTCCAGTCCAGGACGGTGGTGACCATGCAGGGATCAGGATGGGCCCCGTGGAGGCGGGAGGTGGTTGGATTTGGAGGGCTTCTGAGGATACAGTTGCTGGCAGCTCCTGCCTTGCCGATGGGGCAGGGTTGTTGACACCTGGCTGCTGGGTCTGGGGAAACACGGGCCGTTGTTGCCCAGCAGCTCTAGTGACCCCAGACATTGACATGGGCCCTGTCTGGGAGCGAGGGTCTGCAAAGGGCTTCCTTCATCTGGGACACACCTCTCAGCCTGTTTGGCTATGGTGTCCTCCCTCTGTGTCTGTCTCCTGTGACTGGCTAACTGGGCCCGCCGTGCCCCTCCTCTCCCCACAGCGGAACGGGGCCGACTATGCTGTCTACATCAACACAGCCCAGGAGTTTGATGGCTCCGACTCGGGTGCCCGACCAGACGAGGCTGTCTCCTGGGGCAAGATCCGGGTGGATGCACAGCCCGTCAAGGTAAGGGCTGACAGGGTGGGGCACAGGGTCTTCGGGACCTTGGGCGTGGGACCTATGGCTTACCCAGTTCCCCCCCTACCCAGGTCTATGCCGACGCTTCCCTGGTCTTCCCCCTGCTCGTGGCTGAAACCTTTGCCCAGAAGATAGATGCCTTCATGCATGAGAAGAACGAGGACTGAGCAGCTGCTGTCCCAAGGTCTTACCCCCTCCTCTATTTATTAATTTGCAGACCCAGCCCCTCCCCTACTTTTTGGTCAGCCACGTCTCTAGAATAAAATGGTCTCTGCAGTCCTTCCGCATCTGTGTCTCGGTCCGTAGTCCTGTTGGTGGGTCCCCGGCTTCAGCCTGCTCCATCCTCTGCCTCATAGGTCTCTTCCCGCCAGCACTGGACGCTGCCCCCCATGGCGGTCAGCAGGCAGGGCTCCGTGGGGTGGTAGGCCAGTGACTGCACCACGCCACGACCCACAGACAGGGCCAGAGCCAGGGCACCCTGTGGAGCAAGGGGTAGGGAGTGGTTATTTGTGGCTGGGCTGTCCCCTCGTTCCTGAGGTCCCTGGGCACCCCCCATCTCAGTCCTGCCTGAAGCTCTCAGTCACCTCTCGCCTGACCTTCAGCCACCTGCCTCTAATTGCCTCCCGGACACTGCAAAATGAACCTACCCCAGACTGAGACCCACAGTAGCTCTGTCCTACCAGGTGTTCAGGCTGCATGTCTTGGGAGCCTCTTTTATTGACTTTTCATTTTTTAAAATAACAGAGATGGGGTCTTACCATGTTGACCAGGCTGGTCTGGAACTCCTGGCCTCAAGTGATCCTCCTGCTTTGGCCTCCCAAAGTGCTGGGATTACAGGTGTGAGCCACCGCGCCTGGCTTTGGGAGCCTTTTTCTTTTCTTTTTTTTTTTGAGACAGTCTCGCTCTGTTGACAGGCTGGAGTGCAGTGGTGCGATCTCGGCTCACTGCAACCTCCAACTCCCTGGTTCAAGGGGTTCTCCTGCCTCAGCCTCCCGATAGCTGGGATTACAGGCACACACAACCATGCCCAGCTAATTTTTGTATTTTTAGTACAGACGGGGTTTCACCATGTTGGCCAGGATGATCTTTATCTCCTGACCTCATGGATCCACCCCCCTCGGCCTCCCAAAGTGCTGGGATTACAGGCGTGAGTCACTGCTCCTGGCCGGGAGTCTTTTTCTTGTACCACACGTTCCTCTATCAGTCATTCCTCTTGGCTCTGCTTCTAGACTGTGTCCAGAGACTGCTGATTTTCTGCCACTACCATGCTTGGAGCATGCCTTGCTCGCAGCTTGCGTGTTTCCTGCCACAAGCTGGGCTCCATCCTGTCCACTTGGCAGCACCCATGATCCCCACTTCCCCTGGTCACCATCAATGCAAACAGTTCCTCAAGCAAGCCATGGTTCCTCTTTCCACCTTGAAAATGTCCCTTGATGTGTCTGCCCTCCAATGCAACTTCTGTTCTACTGGGCCCACAAGAAATAGGTGGAACATTCTTGCTATCTTAGTTCCTAAAGCAAGAGCTTGTCTGCCAAGTCCAGGGGCCTCCGGTTCCCTCCATCCTCTTACGGGCCTTAGTTCCCCTGGCCAAGCCCAGCGCTGATGTCTCCTTGGCCGAGATTCCCCCAGTTCTGACCCCACTACACCAGGATGGTCTATTTCTGGCCTAACTCCCCACCAGGCTGGGACATGTCAAGGACAGGGCTCAGGGCTTGAAAACATGCACAGGGATGCTCAGATGTAGCTCCAGTTTCTTGAATGACTACAGCCCTGTCTCACCCAGGGTTAGACATGGCCGTCGGCTCCCCCTTGCCCAGGGGTCAGTGCTAGTTGCTCGGCCTGGCATCTGTGGCCCAGCCTAACCTGGATCTTGCCGCAGCTGCTGCCACCCTGAAGCCTTTGTTTCCTGACTGACGCATGCGCTGGCCACACCTCTACACAACATATGCTGTTCCCTTTGCCTGGAATGCCCTTCCTGCCTCACCTTCTCATCTAGCCCAAGCTGGGCACGGTGGCTCAGGCCTGTAATCTCAGCACTCTGGGAGGTCGAGGCGGGTGGATCACTTGAGGTCAGGAGTTTGAGACCAGCCTGGCCAACATGGTGAAACCCTGTCTGTACTAAAAATACAAAAATTAGCCAGGTGTGGTGGTGGGGGCCTGTAATCCCAGCTACTCGGGAGGCTGAGACATGAGAATCACCTGAACCCTGGGGGACAGAGGTTGCAGTAAGCTGAGATGGCGCCACCACATTCCAGCCTGGGCAACAGCATGAGACTCCATCTCAAAAAAAGGAAAAAGGGCCAGGCGTGGAAGGCTGAGGTGGGCGGATCATGAGGTCAGGAGTTCAAGACCAGCCTGACCAACATGGTGAAACCCTGTCTCTACTAAAAATACACAAATTAGCTGGGCATGGTGGCATGCACCTACAATCCCAACTACTCAGAAGGCTGAGGCAGAAGAATCGCTTGAATTTGGGAGGCGGAGTTTATAGTGAGCCAAGATCGGGCCACCGCACTCTAGCCTGGGCGACAGAGCAAGACTTGTCTCAAAAAAGAAAAAAGAAGATCCTAGCCTTCAGGTATGAAATAGGGCTGGGGGCACCTCACCTCCACCAGGTCCCAGAAGAACACCTTCCCGTCCTCAGAGCAGCTGACCACATGTGTGTCACGCTCGCTTAGGCAGCAGTCCAGCTTGTACTCCTGGTTCTTATGGCCCTTGTACCTAAGGGTGGACAGGATCGGGGGGCTTGGTCCTCTCCAGAGGTGGGAGAGGAGGGAAGAGATCCCCACCACCACAAGGACTCACTCGCCCAGCAGCTCCCCTGTGTCTTTGTCCAGGAGCCGCAATGTGGAGTCCAGACTGGACACCAGGGTGCACTGCCCGTCCCGGCTGAAGCAGGTGCAGGTGATGGGGCCTTGGAGGAGGGACGGATAGGTGAGTGAGGCTGGGGTGCCCCTGGCTGGCCCCCCATCTTCCCTGCCTGTCTCACATCTCCGGCCACACTCACTGCCCACGTAGTCTGAGAAGAGCTGGCCCATCCTCAGGTCATAGCGTCTCATGCGGCCGTCCACGGAGCTGCGGGAGAGGGTAGATCCAGCGGGAGCCTTGACTAGGCTCCATGGCTCCAGGCAGCCCTGTGCCTTCCCAGCCCGCTGGGCCTGCTCTTCCAGTGCACAGGAGTGGAATTCTGAAGCTCTGGCCTTGAGACTCAGGCCCAGGGCCAGTCAGGTCCTACTGCATCGTTTCCAAGACCCACACCCCTTTTCCAAACCCTTGGCGACCTTCCGATTCTCCCTTTTCTTTTTTTTTTTTTTTCCGAGAGAGTTTTGCTCTTGTTGCCCAGGCTGGAGTGCAATGGCCTGATCTCGGCTCACTGCAACCTCTGCCTCCCAGGTTCAAACGATTCTCCTGCCTCAGCCTCCTGAGTAGATGGGATTACAGGCATGCGCCACCATGCCCTGCTAATTTTGTATTTTTAGTAGAGACAGGGTTTCTCCATGTTGGTCAGGCTGGTGTTGAACTCCCAACCTCAGGTGATCCGCCCGCCTTAGCCTCCCAAAGTGCTGGGATTACAGGCATGAGCCACCCCACCTGGCCCAATTCCCCCTTCTGTATTCTCCAGCTCCTCCTCCTCAGTACTCAGTCCCACCACTTTCCCCACTACCCAGCACCACCATCTAGACTGCTCTGGTCTCCCTGCACCCCCACAGCCACCAGAGGGAGCACTTTTCAAAGTACAGTTGATCCATGAACAACATGGTTTGAACTGAAGGAGTCCACTTATATGTGGATTTTCTTCTGCCTCTATCAGCCCTGAGACACCAAGACCAACCCCTCCTCCTCCTTCTCCTCCGCCTTCTCAATGTGAAGATCTTTATGATGATCTCTTCACTTCCACTTAATGAATAGAAAATATATTATTTCGGCCGGGCGCGGTGGCTCACGCCTGTAATTCCAGCACTTTAGGAGGCCGAGGCAGGCGGATCACAAGGTCAAGAGATGGAGACCCTCCTGGCCAACATGGTGAAACCCCGTCTCTACTAAAAATACAAAAATTAGCTAGGCGTGGTGGCATATGCCTGTAGTCCCAGCTACTCAGGAGGCTGAGGCAGGAGAATTGCCTGAACCCGGGAGTTGGAGGTTGCAGTGAGCCAAGATCACGTTGCTGTACTCCAGCCTGGCGACAGAGACTCTATCTTAAAAAAAAAAAAAAAAAAAAAAAAAAATTTCCTTATGATCATTTTTTAAAATTTATTTTGTTTATTTTTGAGACGAAGTCTCGCTCTGATGCCCAGGCTGGAGTGTAGCGGTGCAATCTTGGCTCACTGCAAGCTCTGCCTCCCGGGTTCACGCCATTCTCCTGCCTCAGCATCCCGAGTAGCTGGGACTACAGGCACCTGCCACTACGCCCAGCTAATTTTTTGATTTTTTAGTAGAGACAGGGTTTCAGCGTGTTAGCCAGAATGGTCTCGATCTCCTGACCTCAGGATCCGCCTGCCTCAGCCTCCCAAAGTGTTGGGATTACAGGCGTGAGCCACCGCACCCGGTCTATTTTTATTTAATTTTTTAAATCGTTTCATTTTATCTTTTTTTTTTTTTTTTGAGACGGAGTCTCACTCTGTTGCCCAGGCTGGAGTGCAGAGGCACAATCTCGGCTCATTGCAACCTCCAACTCCCGGGTTCAGGTGATTCTCCTGCCTCAGCCTCCCAAGTAGCTGGGATTACAGGCTCCCATCACCACACCCGGCTAATTTTTTTATTTTTAGTAGAGACGGGATTTCACTATGTTGGCCAGGCTGGTCTCAAACTCCTGACCTCAAGTGATCTGCCCTCCTCGGCCTCCAAAAGTGCTGGGATTATAGGTGTGAGCCACCATGCCCGGCTTGATGATGATTTTATTTTTCAGACAGTCTCACTTTCACCCAGCATGGAGTGCAGTGGTCCCTCAAACTCTTGGGCTCAAGTGATCCTTCCACCTCAGCCTCCCAAGTAGCTGAGACTACAGCTGTGTGCCACTGTGCCCAGCTGAGAGTAGGTTTTAATCTGAGCATGGGGGCAGCTATGATTCCCAGTAGCACCTCGGCTGAGACCAGGTCCTGGCTCCACTCACCCTGCCAGGACCTCGTGGTCTGACACCTTCACACTGGACACGCCATCTCTGGCCTCATCCAGCGTCTGCACGGGCTCAGGCCTCCGTGAGCGGCAATCCCAACAGCGGATACTGGAATCAATAGAGCCTGTGAGGCCAGCATGATGGTGAGGTCAGGTTTGGAGGGGAAGGGCAGCATCCTGGACCCCCCTGCATAGGTCCCAGACTCACCGGACAGGATAACTGTGGCCTCTTCATTAAACTGCACCGTGTTCACCTTCTGAGAAAGTTATTGCCACTCAGAGGAGGCTGGACTTTGGAGGACTGGGATAAAGGCAGGGTTCCCAGTGTCGGTTAAAGCAAGGGCAAAGGTTAGAAGGGGAGGTGAAAGGTTTTGGGGGAACAGCAAGGACAGGGGTTGGTGACTGCCTAGCCTGGCATGCGGAGCGGGGGATCGTCATCTGGGGAAGGGATCCTTACGGTGTAATGGGGGTGGCCTCATCACCACCTATGCGCTAATACGGGTCCCCTCCGCTCGAATGAGGGTCTCCAGGCTTTCACTCACCCCTGCATGGCCCCGGAATTTGCGCACGACCTGTCCTGATGCCACATCCCACAGAACTACCGCCTTGTCCCCGCCGCCGGAGCAGAGACTGCTGTTGTCAAAGGAGCTGCAGTACAGGAGGAGGAAGATCAGCATCGACCTCGGATCCCAGCCTCAGCGCTCCCATCCCAGCCTGGCCCCCGGCTCACCCGGCCGCATCCAGCACCTCGTAGCCGTGGCCGCTGTACGTCCGCAGCAGCGTCCCCCGAAGCGGGTTCCATAGCTTCAGGGTCTTGTCACTGCCGCACGTCAGGCAGTAATTGCCATCCACTGGGGAACACCAGGCGGGGGTTACTGGGCCGCCGACCTCAGGAGGCGGGAGGAGGACCCGGAATGAAGACTAAGGCGCTCACCATTAAATCGTACGGCTCGCACCGCCCCTTGCCCGCAGTCCAGCGTCTTCAACCGTTTCTGCGGCAGCTCCGGAGGCCGCGGCTTTGGCTCAGGGAAAGCCATGGTCCCAGGACCCCTTCCTCGCCGCCTTAAATCGGTCTGTAAGGAAGATTCCGCGCCTTCGAAACCCACGCTTGGGTGTAACCTTATTATTGTTCTTCCTGACCTACTTCCTGTTTATCACTTCCGGGTTCATCATTTTGGCATTTGGGTGCTCTTGTTGGAACTATTGAAGCCCGATTTCAGGTTCTTTTCCCCATTTCCCCTTTGCAAGGAAGACTTCTGGATTCTCCTAAATTTCCGTTCTCTGGGTAGGAGGAGTCCAAGCCTCTGTCATGAGGAGCGGAAATGTGAGGGCCTCGGGTGTTACTCTAAAATCCGCCCTCAGCTTGCACGCCGGAAGCTGCAATTTCTGCAGCGGAAGAGGCGTGACCTGGCCTTCGACTCGCTATGTCTACTAACAATATGTCGGACCCACGGAGGCCGAACAAAGTGCTTAGGTGAGGACGCCAGCGTCGTGGCCACGGGTTCGGGTTGGGGGTGTGGATCGGGGCCCTGGGAAGCGTCTGTCTATCCCGGGGACAGGACCTGAGCGCCCCTGACCCTCGAGCCTGTCGCAGGTACAAGCCCCCGCCCAGCGAATGTAACCCGGCCTTGGACGACCCGACGCCGGACTACATGAACCTGCTGGGCATGATCTTCAGCATGTGCGGCCTCATGCTTAAGGTGGGCGGGATTGAGCTTCTATGGGTGTAGTTGGACCTGAGAACGAGGCCCAGGGGCGGGTTTGGAATGAAGCCGGGCGTCTTGTCATTGCTGATGAGGCAGGACCTGAGATCGGCCGGGAGTGGGGCTGGGATGACGCTGGGCCAAGAAAGCCCCAGTCTTCGGTGAAGTCAAGAATTCGGGTCAGGGCGGGGATGTGGCAGATTGGTCTGCGGGTGGGGCCAGGCTTTGAAGCAACTTGGAGGGGACTCGTGGAAAGGGGCAGGGTCTTAAGCATGTGGGATGTCAGAGTCTTGGCCCTGAGAGACGCAGTCCAGGCAGTAGGACTAGAAACCATGTATCTGGAGTATGCCATGAGCAGGTGGGACTGAGGAGTTCCGGGGGGCAAGGTCCCAGCTGCATCAGATGGAATCAGTGGGCATGAACTGGTGTCTGGAAAGGTGGCTTCGGGACTCATTGTTGTGCCTTTCACTGACCTGCCCACCCACCTACCTTTCCCCAGCTGAAGTGGTGTGCTTGGGTCGCTGTCTACTGCTCCTTCATCAGCTTTGCCAACTCTCGGAGCTCGGAGGACACGAAGCAAATGATGAGTAGCTTCATGTGAGACTTGGCCTAGAGAACGAGTGACTCTTGAGTAAGGGGTGGGGGGACTCCAGCCTGCCCATCCTGGACTGACACCTCTCTCCTGTCTCAGGCTGTCCATCTCTGCCGTGGTGATGTCCTATCTGCAGAATCCTCAGCCCATGACGCCCCCGTGGTGATATCAGCCTAGAAAGGTCACATTTTGGACCCTGTTTATCCACTAGGCCTGGGCTTTGGCTGCTCAACCTGCTGCCCTCAGCTGCCATCCTGGACTTCCCTGAATGAGGCCGTCTCAGTGCCTCCAGCTGGATGGAGGGAACCTGGCCCTTTCCTAGGGAACACCCTAGGCCTACCCCTCCTGCCTCCTTTCCCCTGCCTGCTGCTGGGGGAGATGCTGTCCATGTTCTAAGGGTATTCATTTGCTTTCGTGTTGTCGCCTGTTAATAATAAAGTTTTTCACTCTGGCTGTCAGCCTCTTCTGTTCATTGGGGCGTTCCTTCTAGCTGGGGGGAAGGGCTCTAGCTCCATAGGCCTGGCGTGGAGCCCCAGTCTGGAGACTTCTGGCTGTTCGCTTGCTTACTTCATAAACTTTGTGTCTTAAGTCAGGTGCTAGGAACAAGACAGTGACTTCTGCCCTCTGGCAACTCACCAGATGGCCCTGATGACCTAGATAATCTGGGCTTTGGTTTCCTTTTTTTTTTTCTTTTTTTCTTAAAAAAAGATATGCCATGCAGGCTGAGTGCAGTGGCACAATCTCTGGTTACTGCACCCTCAAACTCCTGGGCTTAAGCAATCTTCCCATCTCAGCCTCCCACATAACTGGGAGCACACATGCGTGCTACCATGCCCAGTTATTTTTGTTTTTTTGAGACAGAGTTTCACTCTTGTTGCCCAGGCTGGCGTGCAATGGCATGATCTTGATCTCAGCTCACTGCAACCTCCACCTCCCAGGTTCAAGCGATTCTCCTGCCTCAGTCTCCCAACTAGCTGGGATTACAGGCATGTGCCACCATACTCAGCTAATTTTTGTATTTTTGCATTTTGTGTAAAATTACAAATTCTGTGTTTTCAAACCCGTCTCTACAAAACAACCCATGTTGCCCAGGCTGGTCTCAAACTCCCGGGCCCAAGCGATCCACCAGCCTGGGCCTCCCAAAGTGCTGGAATTGCAGGCTTGAGCCACTGCCCCTGGCCTGGGCTTTGTTTTCTATCAGAGAATGAACTGGTAGGAATTGGGAAAGGCGTGAAAGACTTGGGGTCTTTCCCCACTTATCAGACCCCCTTTCCTCTCCGGAACACCCAGGGATCCTTCTCAACCAGGCTGGATCCCAGCCCCGGCTCTCCAAGGGTACTTACCCAACGTTCCAATCCCCACAGTATAGGACTCTTATCAAATCCTCCTCTTAGGCAAGCTAGGTCCTTCCAGGATTCCAAGCATTCCAAGACTCGTTATAGCCCGTGAGACGTCAAAGTCACCTTTAGTCCAACAAGTGCCCTGAGGGTGGCATTTTCCTACCTTCCTATAAGGACCCCCGGGATTGCGGACTGCTACAGCCTCTGTCCCGTGAGCCGCCAGACCGCGCCCTGGCCCCGCCCCTGCCCTCCGATTGGCCCGGCCGGGTCTCGGGGCGGGGCGTTTGCTCGGCCTTTCCAGGGCCGTGGAACCCCAGGAGGAAGCTGCTGAACCATGGGCGCCTACGCGCAGGCTGCGGGGGTCAGCGCTCGCGGCTGCCTGGACGCAGCAGGCCCCTGGACCATCTCCCGCGCCCTGCGGCCACTGCTCCCGCCTCTCTGCTTTTTCCTTTTGTTGTTGCTGGCGGCTCCCGGTGCTCGGGCCGGGGGATACGAGGTGAGTGGGGCCTCCGAGCGGAAACGTACAGGGGGCAGAGTGAAACACCAAATAACAGTCTAGAGGTGTGGGTGGGTCTGTCCTGCGGGTGTCTAGTGAATGGCTGATGATATGACAGTGTGGTCTTAGTGCGTGCTTTGTGTCACTGCGAGGTCTGGCTGTGCGCGTCTGAGTATGGGACTGTATCTGTACCTGCCTCTGTGTCTCCGGGATGCTTGCCTGGACTTTGCCTGCACTTAACTGTGGGATTGGAGGGGCAGGAGGTGGCAGGAGGTGAGCAGTGTATGTGTGGGGGGAGGTGTGGGCTGAAAGCTGGGACTCTAGAGTCTGCCTGAAATTCCAGCCTAGTTCTTCCACTTCCTAACTGTGTGACGCTGGGCAAGTCACCTATCCTCTCTGAGTCCCAGTGCTTTCATCTGGAAACTGAGGATAACATCACCCCACCTCCCAGGGTGACCGTCTGCTGTTGGCAAGTGCTGAACAAACATCAGCTACTTCTATTATTGTTTTCCCAGAGTGTGAATGAGAGCTGCCCTATGGGGTTGTGCAAAGTGGGGGTTGTATCTATGAGCACAACTATGTATGTGTGTGTCCTGCCTGGGAGGGCCTGGCCTCCTCGGCACATAGGCGAGATCAGGCCTCTCTGAGTCACTCACCTCTAGATCAAGACTTACTTTGCAGCCCCCGACATCCGGGGTTATTGACAAGGTATGTGTGTTTGGGGTCCCTGTACAGACATGCCCCACAGTGCAGCCGAACATGCTGAACGTGCACCTGGTGCCTCACACACATGATGACGTAGGCTGGCTCAAAACCGTGGACCAGTACTTTTATGGAAGTGAGTAGAGGATGGGGACTGGTCCCTGGGATCCCCATGGTCCCTGTAATCCCTTCTGGGTCCTGGACATTAGGGTGGGGCCAGTGTCACCCTAAGATCCAGGACTTGGGCTCCTGTGTCTAGGAATAACCCCCTTGGCTCTGCTGTGCCCTGAGAGCCTTATCCCTGTTATCCACAGTCAAGAATGACATCCAGCACGCCGGTGTGCAGTACATCCTGGACTCGGTCATCTCTGCCTTGCTGGCAGATCCCACCCGTCGCTTCATTTACGTGGAGATTGCCTTCTTCTCCCGTTGGTGGCACCAGCAGACAAATGCCATGCGGGAAGTCGTGCGAGACCTTGTGCGCCAGGGTGAGTCTGCCCCAAGGAAGTGAAAAGAGGAAGCCCAGCCCAGCTTCTGCTTCTGCATTTCTGGTTTCTGAGATTTTATCATGCCATGTGCAAGCTGTGCAACATGCATATCGCTCCGCCTGCCTGGACTCTCCATTTGGGGAACTCTTTTTTTTTTTTTTTTGAGACGGAGTCTCGCTCTGTCGCCCAGGCTGGAGTGCAGTGGTGCGATCTCCGCTCACTGCAAGCTCCGCCTCCCAGGTTCACGCCATTCTCCTGCCTCAGCCTCCCGAGTAGCTGGGACTACAGGCGCCCGCAAACACGCCCGGCTAATTTTTTGTATTTTAGTAGAGACCGGGTTTCACCGTGTTCGCCAGGATGGTCTCGATCTCCTGACCTCATGATCCACCCGCCTCGGCCTCCCAAAGTGCTGGGATTACAGGCGTGAGCCACCACGCCCGGCCGAGAACTCTTATACATCCCACAAGGCCCCATCTGCCATGCATCCTCTGGGAAGCCTGCCATGCAGCGGGGCCTCTTTCCCTTATCTGGGAACTATGGCCTGGGGGCGACCCCTCTTTTCCTTCCGCCAGAAATGAGTGCACAGGCAGGCTTTCACATTCCCAGTATCACCCACCCTGGTCCCACTCCTGGCTGTGACCACTGACCCCGACCTTGCCTGTCCTGGCACAGGGCGCCTGGAGTTCGCCAACGGTGGCTGGGTGATGAACGATGAGGCAGCCACCCACTACGGTGCCATCGTGGACCAGATGACACTCGGGCTGCGCTTTCTGGAGGACACATTTGGCAGTGACGGGCGACCCCGTGTGGCCTGGCACATTGACCCCTTCGGCCACTCTCGGGAGCAGGCCTCGCTGTTTGCGCAGGTGCGACCCGGGACCTCTCTTGGGCCCACCTCTTCACTCACTCTGGCTCCTCCCTCGCCCACTCAAACCCCGCCCTCTCCCTGCAATCTCACAAGGACCAGGCCCAAGCCTGTTGAAGCCCTGCCCCTTGAGTGAGGCCGTAAGGCCAGTGACTTTTGAGCTCTGGCCTCAGCCGCCTATGCCCAGCCCCAGGCGGACCCAGCTCCAGCTGACTCCACCCTCTCCCCTAATAGGTCCCCCTTCGAGTTCTGGCCCCACCCACTAGCTAGGATCATGGCTCCTCCCTAAACTGGGTGGCAAGTGGATGTCTAGGCTGCCTTAAAAACAGCTTCATTACCTGTGCTCAGACCCCATCCATCCTCAGGTTGTGGAAGGGGGAACCTCATTCCTGGAGTCAGGCCTGCTCTGAGCTTTGACAGCGCTGGGGAGGTGAACCTGGTTTCTGATGTTGGACCCGCCCTCTCCCTGCTAGCCCAGGGTAGTGAGTTCTGAAACTTCCCCAAGCTTGGAAATAAGCTGGAGGCCGCTCTGTTTCAGCCCTACGTTTTTTTGTTTTGTTTTGTTGATACATCCCTATCATCTCTACTGGAGTGCAGTGGTGCAATCCTAGCTCACTGTAGCCTCAATCTCCGGATTTAAGCGATTCTCCTGTCTCAGCCTCCCTAGTAGATGAGACTACAAGAGCGCACCACCACGCCTGGCTAATTTTTAAGTTTTTTGTAGAGACAGTCTGTCTGTGTTGTGCAGGCTGGTCTCAAAAACTCCTGGGTATAAGTGATCCTCTTGCTTTGGCCTCCCGGAAGGCTGGGATCACAGGCAAGAGCCATCACACTGACTTAGCTCTGCTTTTTAACCTGTGCTCTGACCTGTCCCTCCCAAGCAAAGGGGAGTTTGGTGGTGACAGGGCTGGGCGCTAATTCACACTGCCTTTTCCTCCCCCATCCCCAGATGGGCTTTGATGGCTTCTTCTTCGGGCGCCTTGATTATCAAGATAAGTGGGTACGGATGCAGAAGCTAGAGATGGAGCAGGTGTGGCGGGCCAGTGCCAGCCTGAAGCCCCCGACCGCGGACCTCTTCACTGGTGAGGGGGCTTGGTGAGGGCAGGGCCAGCCATGGTGCCACACACTCAGAAGGGCCCTGGGCTTGATATCTGCTCTGCCGTCACTGTCCTGGAATTTCTATATTCTGGGAACAAAGTCTCTGCATTTCCTTTTGCACTGGGATGCAAATTCTGAAGCCCATCCTGGGTGGGACATGGCAGGCTTTGAAACCACGGCAGGTCTGGGTGATGGGCCACCCCTTGAACCTGGTGTGACCTGCAGGTGTGCTTCCCAACGGTTACAACCCGCCAATGAATCTGTGCTGGGATGTGCTGTGTGTCGATCAGCCAGTGGTAGAGGACCCCCGCAGCCCCGAGTACAACGCCAAGGAGCTGGTCGATTACTTCCTAAATGTGGCCACTGCCCAGGTAACCCTGGTGTCCAGAACCTTCAAGTTCGGTATATACAAAGCAATGAGCCCTTCCCATGGTACAGGCATCCCCCTAACACATTATCTTTATTTTTAATTTTTTTGAGACAGAGTCTTACTCTGTCTCAAGGAGTGCAGTGGTGCGATCTCGGCTCACTGCCACCTCCGCCTCCTGGGTTCAAACAAGCACATCCAGCTAATTTTTGTATTTTTGCACTGGGGTCTCATCATGTTGGCCAGACTGGTCTTGAACTCCTGACCTCAAGTGATCCACCTGCCTTGGCCTCCCAAAGTGCTGGGATTACAGGCGTGAGCCACCATGCCTCTTTACTTTTAATTTATTTTTAATTAATTAATTTTTTTTGAGCTGGAATCTTGCTCTGTCACTCAGGCTGGAGAGCAGTGGCACGATCTCGGCTCACTGCAACCTCCACCTCCTACATTCAAGCGATTCTCCCACCTCAGCCTCCCAAGTAGCTGGGACTCCAGATGCACACCACCACATCCAGCTAATTTTTTGTATTTTTAGTAGAGATGGTGTTTCACCATGTTGTCCAGGCTGGTCTCAAACTCCTGAGCTCAAGTGATCTGCCTGCCTCGGACTCCCAAAGTGCTGGGATTACACGTGTGAGCCACCACACCTGGCCTCTATTTTTAACATTCTTATTTATTTATTATTTATTATTATTTTTTTGAGACAGAGTCTTGCTCTTGTCACCCAGGCTGGAGTGCAGTGGTGTGATCTCAGCTCACTGCAACCTCTGCCTCCCAGGTTCAAGCAATTCTCCTGCCACAGCCTCCTGAGAAGCTGGAATTACAGGCACCGCCACCACGCCCAGCTAATTTTTGTATTTTTAGTAGAGACAGGGTTTTGTCATGTTGGCCAGGCTGGTCTTGAACTCCTGACTTCAGGTGATCTGCCTGCCTCAGCCTCCCAAAGTGCTGGGATTATAGGCGTGAGCCACTGTGCCCAGTCTATTTTTAACATTTTAATTGAGAATTCCTTTTTTATTTTTTTGAGACTTACTCTGTCACCCAGGCTGGAGTGCAGTGGCACAATCTCAGCTCACTGCAACCTCCACCTACTGGGTTCATGTGATTCTCCTGCCTCAGTCTCCCGTGTAGTTGGGATTACAGGTGCCCACCACCACGCCCGGCTAAGTTTTATGTCTTTTTAGTAGAAAGGGGGTTTCACCATATTGGCCAGGCTGGTCTCGAACTTCTAACCTTGTGATCCACCAGCCTTAGCCTCCCAAAGTTCTGGAATTACAGGCATGAGCCACCGCGCCCAGCCTTTAACACTTTTATAAGTAAAAAAAATTATTTTTTCACAGAGACAACATCTTACCATGTGGCCCAGGCTGGTCTCAAACTCCTGAGCTCAAATGATCCTCCTGCCTTGGCCTCCCAAAGTGCTAGGATTATAGGTGTGAGCCACCATGCCTGGCATAACACGGTCTCCTAAAAAAATTTTTTTTCCCTTTTTTAAAAAAACTGATGGCCAGGTGCAGTGGCTCATGCCTGTAATCCCAGCACTTTGGGAGGCCGAGACGGGCAGATCATCTGGTCAGGAGTTCGAGACCAGCCTAGCCAACATGACGAAACCCTGTCTCCACTAAAAATACAAAAATTAGCCGGGTGTGGTGGTGCACGCCTGTAATCCCAGCTACTTGGGAGGCTGAGGCAAGAGAGTCGCTTGAACCTGGGAGGTGGAGGTTGCAGTGAGCCGAGATCACATCACTGCACTCCAGCTTGGGCAGCAGAGTGAAACTCTGTCTCAAAAAAAAAGAAAAAAAATTGTTTCAGATTAATTTTTTTTTTCTTGAGACAGGGTATTACTATGTGGCTCAGACTGGTCTTAAATTCCTAGACTCAAGCGATCCTCCTGCCTCAGTCTCCTGAGCAGCTGGGATTACAAGTGTGAGCCCCTGTAATTATGTTCTCATGCCCCTTGGAGGAAGATGCTATTCTCTTCACCATCACCATGCCCCCCTCCTGGATTTATGTGTATTCCTCATTAGAAGAGATAGCATAGGCTGGGCAAGAGATAACATGGCATGGTGCTTGGATGCCCTCTTCTAGGTAGTGGGTCCAAGAGAGCTGCTCAACAACCGGTGGCTACTTATATCTGTGTCCCCACGCTCCCATGTGCCATACCTCCACCCATGCCTGTATGTGCACCCAACATCCTTGACCCCATATACATCAAAACACAGCGATACACAGGGATGGCCCAGGATCCTCTGGCCTCAGGACGTCCCTCTTGCCTGCAGGGCCGGCATTACCGCACCAACCACATTGTGATGACCATGGGCTCGGACTTCCAGTATGAGAACGCCAACATGTGGTTCAAGAACCTTGACAAGCTCATCCGGCTGGTAAATGCACAGGTCAGTGTGCCTACCCTGTGGTACCCTTGTGCACATGTGCATTTGCATCCGGGGGCCTTGTGTCATGTGCATAGCTCTCAGTGCTCTCTTTGTTTTCTATTGTTCTATTGTGGTCATTCTATAACAAATGACCACACACGTAGCAGCTCAAAACAACGGAAATACATCGTTTTACAGTTCTGTAGGTAAGAAGTCCAGCATGAGGCTGGGCGTGATAGCTCACGCCTGTAATCCCAGCACTTTGGGAGGCCAAGCCGGGCAGATCACGAGGTCAAGAGTTCAAGACCAGCCTGACCAACATGATGAAACCCTGTCTCTACTAAAAATACAAAAATTAGCCAGCTGTGATGGTGCACGCCTGTAATCCCAGCTACTCGGGAGCCTGAGGCAGAGGAATTGCTTGAATCCGGGAGGCAGATGTTGCAGTGAGCCGAGATCACACCCCTGCACTCTAGCCTGGGCCACAGAGAAAGACTCTGTCTCAAAAAAAAAAAAAAAAAAGAAATTCCAGCCTGAGTCTCACCAGGCTATAATCAAGGTGTTGGCAAGGCTGTGTTCTTTCTGTAGTCTCTAGGAGAGAATACAATTTCCTTGCTTTTTCCAACATCTAGAAGTTGCCCACATTCAAAGTCTCTTCTTGGCTCCATCTTCAAAGCCAGCCACACAGCATCTTTCTGACCCTGTTTCTGTAATCACATCCCTTTCTCTCATTCTCACCTCTTCTGCCTCCCTCTTCCACATTTTTATTTATTTATTTATTCAGAGACGGAGTCTTGCTCTGTCGCCCAGGCTGGAGTGCAGTGGCATGCTCTCAGCTCACTGCAACCTCTGCCTCCTGGGTTCAAGTGATTCTTCTGCCTCAGCCTCCCATGTAGCTGGGACTACAGTCACGTGCCACCACTCACAGCTAATTTTTGTATTTTTAGTAGACAAGGTTTCACTATGTTGGCCAGGACGGTCTCGATCTCTTGACCTCGTGATCCACCCTGCTCGGCCTCCCAAGGTGCTGGGATTACAGATTTGAGCCACTGTGTGGCCTAATTTCCCTACTTTAAGTTTAGCTGATGAACAACCTCAATTACATCTGCAACCTTAATTCCCCTTTTGCCATGTAATCTAACGTAGTAATAGCTTCTGGGGATCAGGACATGGACACTTTTGGGCAGTTATCATTTTACCCAATACAGATGTGTTAGTGTTTCGCACTAAGTGGCCTGTGGCTGTGGCTGTGTGCACAGTCACTCTCATCAGCACAGAAACTTGTCTCCCCTCTCCCATCTCAGGCACCCCTTCCCGTCAATCTTGTCCTCACTGCAGTGCAATCTCCATCCCCACCTTCCACTCGCTCCCTGCACTGCTATTTCACCAAAACAGCTCTTTTATGTCATTTATTTTTATTTATTTTTTCTTTTTAAAATTTTATTTATTTATTTATTTATTTATTTGTTTGTTTGTTTGTTTATTGAGCTAGAGGCTTGCTTTGTCACCCAGGCTGGAGTGCAGTGGCACAATCTTGGCTCACTGCAACCTCTGCCTCCTGGGTTCTAGCGATTCTCCTGCCTCAGCCTCCCAAGTAGTTGGGACTACAGGCATGTGCCACCAACCCTGGCTAATTTTTGTATTTTCAATAGACGCAGGGTTTCCCTATGTTGGCCAGGTTGGTCTCAAACTCCTGTCCTCAAGTGATCTGCCTTCCTCGGTCTCCCAAAGTACTGGGATTGTAATCTGAGGTGGGCGGATCACTTGAGGACAGAAGTTCGAGACCAGCCTGGCTAACATGGTGGAACCTTGTCTGTACTAAAAATAGGACAAATTAGCTGGGCGTGGTGGCACTTATCTGTAAGACCAGCTACTTGGCAGGCTGAAGCAGGAGAATCGGTGGAACCTGGGAGGCAGAGGTTGCAGCAAGCTGAGACCGTGCCACTGCACTCCAGCCTGGGCGACAGAGTGAGACTCAGTCTCAAAAAAAAAAAAAAAAGTTTATTAAGTACCTACTGTATACACTGGGGACACAGCACGTGCAAAACAAACATCCTTTTCCTCATATAGGTCACTTTCTTCTTCCTCCACCTCGCTCAGGTGAAAGTGCACCTCCATTCATTATAAAAATTGTGTCTAGGCCGGGCATAGTGGTTCACGTCTGTAATCCCAGCACTTTGGGAGGCTGAGGCGGGCGGATCACAAAGTCAGGAGATCGAGACCATCCTGGCTAACACGGTGAAACCCCGTCTCTACTAAAAAATACAAAAAATTAGCCGGGCGTGGTGGCGGGTGCCTGTAGTCCCAGCTACTCAGGAGTTGAGGCTGGAGAATGGCATGAACCTGGGAGGTGGAGCTTGCAGTAAGCCGAGATCAGGCCACTGCACTCCTGCCTGGGTGACAGAGCGAGACTCCACCTCAAAAAAAAAAAAAAAATTTGTGTCTTTTGATAATAATCTGATGGTCCTGCAAAACGATTATTCCTGCCCTATAATGTCACACTTAGTTTTTCCACAAAAGTTTTTAATAATAAAGTTGGAATTATTGTAAAAGTTTAGTAAAATTTCAGGTTTATTCTTGCATCTCTGAAATCCTTTTTAAAAAGGCTAGTGGTCATGTTTGACTTCAGCCAAAATTCATTTTCACATCTGACCATTGGCTTGGCCACCAAATGTGTATTTAGAGAAACTGAACCTATGGGATGCATGAATGTGCACACATGTGTGGAAGTGTGGGCCCCTGGGAAGGTGCGGACTCCCGAGGGCTCACTCCATCGCCTCCCCCAGCAGCAGGCAAAAGGAAGCAGTGTCCATGTTCTCTACTCCACCCCCGCTTGTTACCTCTGGGAGCTGAACAAGGCCAACCTCACCTGGTATTTGGGGAAACTGGGGAGCTTGGGGGGGTTGGCATGCCCCGTGGGTCATGACCCTGCCCTCAATGCCCCTGCCGCTGTAGGTCAGTGAAACATGACGACTTCTTCCCTTACGCGGATGGCCCCCACCAGTTCTGGACCGGTTACTTTTCTAGTCGGCCGGCCCTCAAACGCTACGAGCGCCTCAGCTACAACTTCTTGCAGGTGGGTAGGAGCCGGGTTAGAGGGGGCACACAGCCCCGAGGCCCGACCTGGGCACCCCAACATACCCCTCTGCCTCCAGGTGTGCAACCAGCTGGAGGCGCTGGTGGGCCTGGCAGCCAACGTGGGACCCTATGGCTCAGGAGACAGTGCACCTCTCAGTAAGCATCGGGCCCAAGAGAGGAAGAGGTTTGCGGCTGAAGCTGGAAACCACCCCTAGGCCGCCCCTCTCGAGTTCCTTCTTTTTTTTTTTTTTTTGAGACGGAGTCTCGCTCTGTCACCCAGGCTGGGGTGCGGTGGCGCGATCTCAGCTCACTGCAAGCCCCGCCTCCCAGGTTCACGCCATTCTCCTGGCTCAGCCTCCCGAGTAGCTGGGATTACAAGTGCCCGCCACCACGCCCGGCTATTTTCAGTAGAGATGGGGTTTCACCGTGTTAGCCAGGATGGTCTTGATCTCCTGACCTCGTGATCCGCCCGCCTCTGCCTCCCAAAGTGCTGGGATTACAGGCGTGAGCCACCGCGCCCGGCCATCCTCGAGTTCCTTCTTAAAGCCTCTAAGAACCCTGCCCGGCAGCACCGGACCTTTCGCTTCCCCTTGGGGGCTGAGCTGAGTCCCGCAGAACCTCACCGGACTCATTGTCTATGAGCAGATAAGGCGATGGCCGTGCTCCAGCATCACGACGCTGTCAGTGGCACCTCCCGCCAGCACGTGGCAGACGACTACGCACGCCAGCTTGCTGCAGGCTGGGGGTCTTGCGAGGTGCGCGGGGCGGGACTTGGGAGACATGGGGGTGGAGACAGGAAGGGGCGGGGCCGGGGCCTGGGAAAGAAGGGACAGGGACAGGTGTGACGTGTAACCGAGAGCGGTGTGGCGGGCTACAAAGGCTCGTGGGGGCGGGGCTTGTAGGAGGCAAGGAAAGATTCAGTAACGGGGCGGGGCCTTGGAGGGGAAAAGGAGGCGAGGCGTGGGCAAGAGGAGGCCGAGACAGCTATGGGGCATAGTCAAGGGCAGCAGGCCTGGGCTAGAAGGGCTTGTGGGGCGAGTCTTGAGGGAGGCAGGACAGAGACTGGAACGGGACGGGGCCTGAGAGGAGAGGGAAGGAGTCAGATAGGCCAGGCGTCCAGAACCCACTGGTCCCTTTGCGCTCTTCCGCAGGTTCTCCTGAGCAACGCGTTGGCGCGGCTCAGAGGCTTCAAAGATCACTTAACCTTCTGCCGACAGCTAAACATCAGCATCTGCCCGCTCAGCCAGACGGCGGCGCGCGTGAGCCGGGACGGGAGGGGTGGATCTTGGACAGATGGGCTTTAGAGGAGGTAGTTGGAAAATGTTTTTGGAGGACTATACTGGAGTGAAATTACGTGGGCTGCGACGCTGGGTCAGGACAGAGACCAACGCATCTCGAGGGGGCTTGGCGTGATGGGCCGTGACCGTACCAGGACCACCCAGGGGCATTTCGGTGCAAAGTGGGTGGGTTTGGAGAAGGCCTGCTGTGACCCGTGCCCTCTCTGACCGCCCCCCCAGTTCCAGGTCATCGTTTATAATCCCCTGGGGCGGAAGGTGAATTGGATGGTACGGCTGCCGGTCAGCGAAGGCGTTTTCGTTGTGAAGGACCCCAATGGCAGGACAGTACCCAGCGATGTGAGCCCAGACAACGAATATTCCCCCGCTGGAACCCCTCCCACATGGGCATTTCCTCGTCGCCCTCATGGATACCGCCTGCCTCTATGAATACCTCCTGCCTCTATGAATACCTCCCACTCATACATATCTCTTCCCCGCTCTTGTATCTTCTCCCTCTGCCCCTTAATATCAGTCTCCCCTTGGGAACATCTGCCTCCTGTGAGTGGTCCTCCCTTTTTTTTTTGAGACAGAGTCTCGCTCTGTCACCCAGGCTGGAGCACAGTGGCGCGATCTCGTCTCACTTCAGCCTCCGACTCCCGGGTTCAAGTGATTCTCATGCCTCAGCCTCCCGAGTAGCTGGGATTACAGGCATTCGCCACCACACCCGGCTAATTTTTGTATTTTTAGTAGAGACGAGGTTTCACCATGTTGGTCAGGGTGGTCTCGAACTCCTGACCTCATGATCTACCTGCCTCGGCCTCCCAAAGTGCTGGGATTACAGGCATGAGCCACCGTGCCTAGCTGGTCCCCCATTTTAATACCCCGCTCCCCCAGGAAAATTTATTGCTGTTTATGGACATCTCCTTCATTCCAGAAAACGTCCTCCCGCAAACCTCTTCCTCTCCTGAGAACCTGCCTCGAGGGTTTCTTCCCCTACTTCCTCCTTCACTCCCCTACTTCACTCCTTCACTCCATAGTCTCTCCGCCCTCCCAGTGGGTTTTTTTCCACCTGGTGAATCTTCTCTGCAATCATTTCCTTGGAATCTGACTGTCCCCCCACCACCACACACACCTCCATTTCCTTTCCCCATCTCAGGACTCTTTTCCTTCCTTGAGTTTGTTGTCTCCATGCATGTATGGCTTTCCGTGGGTACTCTTGACTCAGTTTCCCTCCTCCTTTATCCAAGGTGGTGGTATATCCCAGCTCAGACAGTCAGGCGCACCCTCCGGAGCTGCTGTTCTCAGCCTCACTGCCCGCCCTGGGCTTCAGCACCTATTCAGTAACCCAGGTGCCTCGTTGGAAGCCCCAGGCCCGCGCACCCCAGCCCATCCCCAGGAGATCCAGGTCCCCTGCTTTAACCATCGAAAATGAGGTGAGACCCCATTTCAATCCCCTTTCCTGTGACAAATTTGAAGTGTCATGGTAAGCTGTGTGGACTCTGGGTCAGCAGGTTCCTAGGCTCATGACCTCCTGTCACCACTCCAATCATTGTGTGTCCTTGAGCAAGTGACCTTTGTCGGAGCCTCAGTGTCCTTTCCTGGGATTGTTATGAGGACCCAGTGTGATCATGGGTGACGCTTGACAGATAGGTCAGAGCTGGAGGCAGGTGGTGGTTTGCAGTTTTGGTGGGGACGTTTCAGGGAATGTGTTCTTGATAAAGGTGACATTTAAGATATGACCTGAGGGCCAGGCGTGGTGGCTCAAGCCTGTAATCCCAGCACTTTGGGAGGCCGAGACGGGCGGATCACGAGGTCAGAAGATCGAGACCATCCTGGCTAACACGGTGAAACCCCGT